TTGCAAAAACTTCAAAAGAAACCATGCTCAAACATTTTGATTGCTTTATTTTATTGAAAAAAGCAATCATAACGTTTAACGATGGTTTCTTTTATGTTTTTAGCAATTACATTAAAAGTTTAAAGTTTAAAGAAATGTATTCAATATAAATAAAATTTAGCATGCTTTTTTTAATTTTTTTCATTTTCCATAAAGTAAAATAATGTTTGTTTTGCATATTAAAACTTTTGCACTTTTAAAAGATTTTTTATTGTGCATTTATCATTAATTTGCGCGCACTTTGCAAATGTGTAAAAAAGGTTTTTGAAAAATAAATATTGAATAAATTTACCAAGCATCTTTGATATATTTAATAACTTATTAACTAGAATAAAAATTATTTGAATTTTATTTGATATAAACCTCTTAAATTAGATGTTCGTCAATAAATAAAGATATGCAAGTCAACTTTTATTAAAAAAAAAACGATATGTCACGCCCTGGGATAAAAAATAGTTGGCAGATGCAATTGCTTCAAGATTATTGTAACTCCTTTTTTTTTAGTAAATAATTTCTTAATTAGAAATTGTATTTCCATGATAAAATGGTTTGTAGTTGTTTTTTAATAGCTTCTGTAATCATTTTGCTTCAAGCTCTAATCTAAATATTTTTTTTCATTGATTGCCTTTAATTAAGTTGCATTAAAGTATTCAGGAAAATTTGTGGGAGTTTAATTGTAATTATGAAATCAATTAAATTAAAAATCGCATTTGTTTTTTTTAGCGCATTTTTTAAACACACTAATTATCAAAACTTGCAAAGAGCCGAGGTCAAGTTGTTAAAACAAAGAACTATATGCGTGGTAATATAAGGTGTGCGACCGCACACATCTTACGAGAAGGCCTGTATATATATATATATATATATATATATATATATATATATATATATATACATATATATATATATATATATATATATATATATATATATATATATATATATATATATATATATATATATATATATATATATATATATATATATATATATATATATATATATATATATATATATATACATATATATATATATATACATATATATATATTTCTACAAATATATGTATATTTGTAGAAATATGTTTGTTACACCAGTAAAAACCAGGTCATGAAGGCATGAAACTAGTGACTGCATTTTTTCTTTTGTTGTTTCAGGCCTTGCGATAAAGCATCGGGCGATGTGAATTTCACGTCGTCCAAGAGCGATTTTGCGTGTAGCTAGGGCTATTTGCGTCGAGCAAAAAATTTTTTGTTTGAGTATATTTAAAGATATTTTTGAGCGGAATTTTAATGAAGTAATTTACGATTATTTTAACATTTAATAAAGTATTTTAAAAACCGCACGCAGTTGAAATAAAGGTTTGAATTAAAAAAAAATTAAATATGCTCATTATTAGAAGAAGAAGAAAAAGAAAAAATTCAGATTAAAAAAAAAATATATATCTTTTAAGCTAACATTTTGATAAAATTATTCAGCAATAGCAAAGTTGTCGATAAAATTGAACAAAAATACTTTCTTTTAGATTTAGATTTTAAACTTAAATAATTATTTTACGGGGGTTTGTTAGGTTTTAAAAAAAAAGATTTAAAAACATATATTAACTGTTAGACGTATTTAAAGTATTTAAGAGTAATTTCGAGGAAACATTTTAAAAATTGGTGAGCGCAAATAAAAAAAAAAAAAAAAAAGGAATAATATTAAAACGTATTCTACTTGATTCAATAAAAAAGTACAGTTATTAAAATTTTTGTAAAAAGTAACTCAAAAAAATTACTTAAATAATAACGATCGCTTTTATGTTAAAAGTTACCGAAACTCAACGAGGCTCAAGAACAGCTGCTGAAAAATAAAATGTCAATAGTTTTTCGAATAATTTTTAATAATAATTTTTAAGAATAATTTTTTCGCTGAAATATTTCTTTTATACCTATAAGATTTTTATTCTAACATTTTATTTTATATTACTTAAAATAAAATTCCTTGTTAAAATTAAAAATCTATTCAAAACATTCGTTTAAGTTTTTTATTAATATGAGTGATTGTGCTTATCAACCGCTTTATGAAAATAAATAAAAATAAATAAATATTATATAAAATCGCTTGTAAAAATATTAGCTATTGCACAGTTTTTAATCGTACAATATTAAAATTTCCAGTTTATTACTCGCTGACTTTTTAAAAAGAAAAAATAATTATTTGAAAAACATTAAATTACATATTTAAGAAAAAAAAAATCAAATATTAGCATTTTTTATAATCTTTTTTAAATTTAAGTTATAATGTTTTTTATTTGTTTAGTATAGACAAAACGTGACAAACGTCGAGAAAATAAACAGATGTTTTTACATTTTAAAAAACGAAACATTCCAAAACATTTTTAAATAATAACATATCTACATAAACGATTTAAAGTTGTTTTGCGGTAATTAAGTAAATTGGTGCAGTTAATGTCGATAAATATGAAAAGCAAATAAAAAGAATTTAATGACGTCAAAAATCACGTCGTGCTTATGCGTCGCGCAGTTCTTATTCATCGCAAGGCCTGTTGTTTGTGAGCACTCTTCTCAAAGTTTTAATAAACAACATAAAACATTAAACCAACTTAACAAATTAAGCAAAGCTCTCTTTATGTCAGATTTTTTGACATACCTGACTTATGGAGGTTAGGACACTTAGTATTTTGAATTTTTTTGTTATAGTTCTAATTTTTAGTTTTGTTTAACTTCAACTTTTTTAATAAATAAACTTTAATATAAGCTTGACCAACATGAAGATATTTGTAAAAATATTTAGTTTGTAAAATTATATTCGATACTAAAGTATTTAATATTCAACTTTTTTGAATTTTATTTGGTGTTTTTGAATTTTAAATATAATAGTCATTAATAAATAGAATGAATCGAACCTGTACAAAATGGAAGCTATTATGGTAGTTTTAGTTTTATAAATTATTATAAATAATTATGATAAAAATTTAATTTTTAAGCATTCATTTTTATTAAGTATTGATTTTTATTGAAGTATTGCAAGTTTTTATATTCTACATGGACTTTTATGCAACTCAAAGTAAAAGTCCTAGTTAAGCATAAAAAAAGTTTTTTGTAACATGGACCCAATAAACTGTGCAAGTTAACAAATGATTCAACTTAACCAGGGTATGGTTACGGGATAATATGATAAAGTTCAACATAAATTTAAACGTCAAGGCGAATTTAACTTTGAAGTAGAAGAAATAAATAATTGGCTTTCTTGCACTGATATTTTTAATTTTAATTTATGTGTGACGTACTTTACAACGGATATAACTTCATTGGTATTAAGTATTATTTAACAATATGCAAACTATACTGTTCAATTAAACATATTATAATTTTACAAAATCAAAATTAGTGAGCCCTATTCGCCGAGCATGGAATACAATTTATGGATGTGTTTCGCAGAGCAATTGCTCCTGCTTCATCATAAGGCCTGTTATAGTAATTAACACTATTATTATATTTTTAAATACTTAAATCCTGGTGGAGAATTAGTTCTGTAAAAGTTCTGTAATGAAACTATTGTATTATTTTATTATTATAAAATTATAGAACTCCTCATTTCTTAAACATCTTTATAATGTCTATACTTACTTTTTCAGGAGCTAATTACATCTATGCCATTATGGATTTAACTTATGTGTTTGATAATGAAATATGAAAAAGCTATTTGAATAGGTCTGATACATTTCCACATGCAATAACTATATATTTTTCAATAGTAATTGATCAATATTTTTTTCTACATTATAAAACAAAGCTTTAGAATTCCTTTAAACATTTTTTATTACCAGTTCTATTTTGACAGACTATTTGAGTAACTTGCACCATAGCAACATATATATTTATATCACTTATGATCTAACCAATGTGTAGTAGTTAATTCTTAGTAGTTAAGAAACCAATTTATTTTTTGCTACAGAAACAAGTCACTGAAATAAGTTATAATAAATAACCTAAGTCATCAAAATAATTAACCCCATTTTGAAATTACTAAAACCATTTTGAACTAATGCCATTAGTTTTAATCAGATTTAAGTTGATTTAAATAAAAATTAATTTGTTTAAATCAACTTTAAATATAAGTACGTTGGTTAGTGGCTAAGTCATTAACTTGATCGTATATTGAGGCAGGTAAGGCTCTTAAGACATGATGGAGATTTCTTTAATATTTTGTTAAATATTATTATTATATCTTAGTCATGAGGTAGTTCAAGTAAATAGTTGGAACCACTTTACTTAGCTTCATAATTTAACTTAGATTTATAACTTAACTTAGCTTCATAGCTTAATTTAGCTTCATAGCTCAACTTAGCTTTTAATTAACTTTAGATTAGTTTAGTTGGCTTCATAACTTAGCATTCTATTTCAATGAGATATTACAATTACATTTGAAGATTTTCAACATTTAAACAGAGCAAATTCAAATGCCCAAGTCAAAGCAGTCAAAAGAAAATTTTACAGAGTTTATATCCAAATACATGGCTATAAGTTTACAGAGTTTATATCCAATCAAATACATGGTAATAAACACAGATGTGAAGCAATAACAGACCAGATTTTGAAAGTTTCAAAATCACTTCTTATTTCTGATTATACAAGGTTATTCTAAAAATTTTAAGAGACAAATGGACAATTTAGGAAAAAAACAAGATATTTATGGTAAAGTTAAGTAAAAACCATTAAAAATGATAACAAATTTAAAAAACTATTTGAAAGTAAGATTTACCCAGATTATTTCATAACATAATAGCTATGCTAAAAAAACAGGGACACATAATTTATAGATTTTATCAAACTAATTAAACAACTAATTTTTATAAATATTAAGTTGATTTAAAACATTATTTATTGTTTTAGATAAAAGAAGTCAAATTTTATTAGTATATTATATGTATACATAACTGATATAGTGTAAACAACCTGTTCAAGTAAATGTTGCTTTGAAATAGTTTCAGCTTCAAGCCGTTCAATTCTTCTAATTAACTTGTTAACTTGAAACTCTTGTTCTTGTTCTAAAGTTTGTTCAAGTTGAACTTTTTCATTGCGCAGCTAAATGGTAAATTTAAAATCAATTTTAAATTAAATCTTCAAATTAAACCTGATTAAAAACAATAGTGGAAAAAAGCAAAATAATAAGTAATAATATTAATAAACAGAATTCACTTGAAAAAGTTTTTTTGAAAGATCATTAGTCAAATATTCCTCCTCCTCTTCATAATTCATTGCAAGAATTTCTTTTTCTTTTTTTAATGTATGAATTTTTTTCATTAATGTATTTGAAATGAATTCCTCTTCTTGTTCAGCTTTGGCTTGCTGAAAAAAATGACACATACATTTAGAAACAAAGAAAATAATGCTTTATTAAATAATATTTAATTATTTAAATCATATTTAATTATTATCAATATATACCAAATACTAATATAACATACACAAGTTTTTTGTATTTTATATACAAATACAAAACAAAATACGTGTGTGTGTTTTGTGCTTGTGTTTGTGTGTGTGTGAGTGCGTATGTAGAAATCCTACTTGTAATGTCATAATAAAATAGTCATTTATCGGGCTTTTTTACAATTTGGTTTAGGCAGACACAAACTCTGTTTAGAAAACATTTATGGCAAAAAAACTTGTCTGGATTAAATTCTGCAAGTTTAAGAATAAAGTAAACAAAATATATTAGCGTCACTTTAAATCCATAGGAGCAACTAATTATATACATACATACATACATACATACATACATACATACATACATACATACATACATACATACATACATACATACATACATACATACATACATACATACATACATACATACATACATACATACATACATACACACATACATACATACATATCATGCTAATCTATAATATGTAAATTTATAACATATGGGTCATTCCAGCTAAATTCAATTTATGCTTGGCAGCATGCTATCTCAGATTTTAATGATTTTCGAAATACAAGTTCATATTGATGAAAGAAAACTTTACTCCAAATAGTGACTGACTCTATACGGCTTCAGAGATATTGATATTCAGTTCCAATCTCTTTTTTGATTATTTTTTTCAGCACCATTTACTTTTAAAGCGAATTACATAGCACAATTAGCTGAATTACTTTCACAATAGTGTTGAAAATTTGAATGTAACTATTTTTTAGGAAGAGGAACTCAAAAATGATACCTAAAACTAGAAACACTTTTTTATGAAAATTCAATTTCAAAACGCTATAACACTTTTTATAAGTTTTTTGATGTACAGAAAAAAAATTATAATAAATAAACTTGTTTGCATTTCACATTAAAGATCTTCAATTTATACAACTTTCATGTTTAATGAAGGATTTTTTATTTACGAATCTTCAAATGTTTAATTTAAAAATATTGCTTACAAAACTCAAAAATAATATAAAAATATTAATGATAAAGAAAGATCTTTAATTGGATTAATAAATAAACAAAATTGTATAATAAAGAAAAGATATATCCATAATGTATAATTAAATTGAATTCATTTAAGGATGATGGACCAGGAGAACCAACTTGCAACCAGATTTATGAAGATGAAGATAATGAACTTCTTAAATCTCAATTCTTTTTTGACAGCTATGAACATAAGTCCTCTTAAAACGCATGCTGTGAATAGTCACTCAAGAAATGCTTTCGGGAAAAAGAAACCACTATATGTTTAAAAAACATTCGTAAGAATTCCACCATTTGTCGGGAAACTAAGTTTGAATCCACAGACTACTCTTTTATGTGCTTTCGTTTAGCGCTACTTTACTCTATTACCTTTCTCTTTGTTCTATATCGCTCTCCTTCATCTCAAGACTGCACTCTTCTTGATGTTATTTCTGATTATATTGACCAAGCCCTCATTTTTTATCCATCAGCCGATATTGTTGTTGTCGGTGACTTTAATGTTCATCACACTGAAGGGCTTGCCTCTAGTGTCAGTGACTCTGCAGGCATTAAAGCCCACAACTTTTGCTTTTCTCAATCCCTGACTCAAATAGTCAACTTTCCAACTCGCTTTCCAGACAACCCGAATCATTTACCTTCTCTACTTGACTTATGTCTTGTTTCTGATCCTAGTCAGTGCTCAGTTTCTCCACACTCACCCTTAGGTGCTTCTGATCATGGTTTGGTCTCTCTAAAACTATTATCTCATTCTTCTTTACCATCAGAATCCCCCTATCATCGTACATCCTACAACTACCTTAAATCTGACTGGGACTCTTTCCGTGATTTTCTTCGTGATGGCCCCTGGGTAAAAATGTTTCGTCTTCCTGTTGACAAATGTGCTTCTTACATAACTTCGTGGATTCAGGCTGGTATGGAATCTTTTATTCCCTCTCGATGATTTCAGGTCAAGCCTCACTCTTCTCCATGGTTTTCCTCACATTGTGCTGCTGCAATTGCCAATTGAAACCATTACTTCTATATCTATCAGCAAAACAATTCTCCAGAAAACAGATGTCTGTTTATTACTGCTAGGAACCATTGTAAAAAGGTTTTGTCTAATGCCAAAGCCCGCTATTCTCAGATCATAAAATTTCGTATTTCATCACAAAAATTAGGCTCTCGTGACTTCAGGAGAATCTTTAATAGTATCAATAATAAGGGCAAGTCTGTAATTCCACCTCTTTTGTACGGTTTATGCTTTGTCACCTCACCTAAAGACAAAGCTGAATTGTTTGCCAAGAACTTTTCATCAATATCATCTCTTGATTCCACTAGTTGCGTTCTTCCTGATATAGCCGTCAAACAGGTTGATCCATTGCTCGACATCTGTATCACTCCAGCTTCTGTATCCTGCTTAGACTCTTCTACAGCTTGCGACCTGGACAACATACCTGTTCTAGTCTTGCAGAAGTGGTCTCCGGAGCTGTCATCTATCCTATCTATGTCATCAAAACTATCTAACAAGTGCTTATCAGAGTCTTGTTTTCCAGCCTGCTGGAAAGCAGCATCTGTTATCCCTATTTTTAAAAAATCTGGAGAGCGATCCCATTCGTCTAACTACCGTCCCATTAGTCTTCTTCCTATCATAAGCAAGGTTTTTGAATCTTTAATTAATAAACACTTAATTTCCCATCTCGAATCTCATAACCTACCTTCTGATCATCAATATGGATTTCGATCTTCTCGTTCTACGGCTGATTTGTCAACAGTAATAACCAATAGGTTTTATCCCGCATTAGATAAAGGTGTAGAGGTTAAGGCCATCGCTCTTGACATTTCTAAAGCGTTTGATAAAGTTTGGCAAAAAAAACCATGATCTTTATCAATATCTTTTTGAGAGTAGAACTCATTTTCAAGATGTCTTAGTATAGACTCTTCTGGGCACTATTTGCAACAATGTAACATGTGATTCTTGTTAGCCCTACTACAAAAAAGTCAATAAGTTCATATTAAACCTTTGATTAATCAACTGCACTAATCATTAACCAGATGCTCACACTGTAATGTACCATTTTGGACAATTTGAGAAAAAGTGAGAAAACAAGTCTTTATATCAGGATAACTGGGTTTAGACTTATCTTACAGTAAATGCACAAATTAGATATTTCCTTCCCTTTTTTTTTTTCAGGAAAAAATAAAATATAATTTTTCAGCAGCAGTTTGCATGATATCTGCACCATATTATTAGTAACACTAAATACTTTTTCTTGATATTTTTTAGAATAATTAAGTTTTTTTATTTGAAAGTTAACATTTTTTGCTATAAGTTCATTCTTGTGTTACTCCTCATTCAATAAAGTCTCATCCTTTTTCTGTTACTGTTCCTAAGTGCTACAAAAACTCTCATTTGTCTAGTTTTTTCCCTCAAACATCAGTTCTTTGGAATTTGCTTCCTTCATCTTGCTTTCCTGATTCATACAATTTGCAATCTTTTACGTCGTCTGTCAATCGTTATCTTGCTCTATAATCTTCATCTTTTCTCTTCCAGTAACCTCCAACACTAATTAGTGGTTGCTTGCAGCCTTGTTGGAAGTAAAAATGTTTAAAAAAAAAAAGATCTTTTAAGGACTTTAAATAAAGATCCTGATCAATTAAACTAAGAAGATTATTATTATTAATCAAGGAAGTTAAATTATTTAAGGAAGCTAAATGTAAAGCAAATGATATGAATATACTTATAGCAAAAAATGTTAACTTTCAAATAAAAAAACTTAATTATTCTAAAAAATATCAAGAAAAAGTATTTAGTGTTACTAATAATATGGTGCAGATATCATGCAAACTGCTGCTGAAAAATTATATTTTATTTTTTCCTGAAAAAAAAAAAGGGAAGGAAATATCTAATTTGTGCATTTACTGTAAGATAAGTCTAAACCCAGTTATCCTGATATAAAGACTTGTTTTCTCACTTTTTCTCAAATTGTCCAAAATGGTACATTACAGTGTGAGCATCTGGTTAATGATTAGTGCAGTTGATTAATCAAAGGTTTAATATGAACTTATTGACTTTTTTGTAGTAGGGCTAACAAGAATCACATGTTACATTGTTGCAAATAGTGCCCAGAAGAGTCTATACTAAGACATCTTGAAAATGAGTTCTACTCTCAAAAAGATATTGATAAAGATCATGGTTTTTTTTGCCAAACTTTATCAAACGCTTTAGAAATGTCAAGAGCGATGGCCTTAACCTCTACACCTTTATCTAATGCGGGATAAAACCTATTGGTTATTACTGTTGACAAATCAGCCGTAGAACGAGAAGATCGAAATCCATATTGATGATCAGAAGGTAGGTTATGAGATTCGAGATGGGAAATTAAGTGTTTATTAATTAAAGATTCAAAAACCTTGCTTATGATAGGAAGAAGACTAATGGGACGGTAGTTAGACGAATGGGATCGCTCTCCAGATTTTTTAAAAATAGGGATAACAGATGCTGCTTTCCAGCAGGCTGGAAAACAAGACTCTGATAAGCACTTGTTAGATAGTTTTGATGACATAGATAGGATAGATGACAGCTCCGGAGACCACTTCTGCAAGACTAGAACAGGTATGTTGTCCAGGTCGCAAGCTGTAGAAGAGTCTAAGCAGGATACAGAAGCTGGAGTGATACAGATGTCGAGCAATGGATCAACCTGTTTGACGGCTATATCAGGAAGAACGCAACTAGTGGAATCAAGAGATGATATTGATGAAAAGTTCTTGGCAAACAATTCAGCTTTGTCTTTAGGTGAGGTGACAAAGCATAAACCGTACAAAAGAGGTGGAATTACAGACTTGCCCTTATTATTGATACTATTAAAGATTCTCCTGAAGTCACGAGAGCCTAATTTTTGTGATGAAATACGAAATTTTATGATCTGAGAATAGCGGGCTTTGGCATTAGACAAAACCTTTTTACAATGGTTCCTAGCAGTAATAAACAGACATCTGTTTTCTGGAGAATTGTTTTGCTGATAGATATAGAAGTAATGGTTTCAATTGGCAATTGCAGCAGCACAATGTGAGGAAAACCATGGAGAAGAGTGAGGCTTGACCTGAAATCATCGAGAGGGAATAAAAGATTCCATACCAGCCTGAATCCACGAAGTTATGTAAGAAGCACATTTGTCAACAGGAAGACGAAACATTTTTACCCAGGGGCCATCACGAAGAAAATCACGGAAAGAGTCCCAGTCAGATTTAAGGTAGTTGTAGGATGTACGATGATAGGGGGATTCTGATGGTAAAGAAGAATGAGATAATAGTTTTAGAGAGACCAAACCATGATCAGAAGCACCTAAGGGTGAGTGTGGAGAAACTGAGCACTGACTAGGATCAGAAACAAGACATAAGTCAAGTAGAGAAGGTAAATGATTCGGGTTGTCTGGAAAGCGAGTTGGAAAGTTGACTATTTGAGTCAGGGATTGAGAAAGGCAAAAGTTGTGGGCTTTAATGCCTGTAGAGTCACTGACACTAGAGGCAAGCCCTTCAGTGTGATGAACATTAAAGTCACCGACAACAACAATATTGGCTGATGGATAAAAAATGAGGGCTTGGTCAATATAATCAGAAATAACATCAAGAAGAGTGCAGTCTTGAGATGAAGGAGAGCGATATAGAACAAAGAGAAAGGTAATAGAGTAAAGTAGTGCTAAACGAAAGCACATAAAAGAGTAGTCTGTGGATTCAAACTTAGTTTCCCGACAAATGGTGGAATTCTTACGAATGTAAATGCCTAGGCCAAGCATGTGACTATTGGAATCTTTACGAATTAAAGGAAGATAACCATCAACACTAAGATCACTACAACACTACACACTAAGATCAACACAACACTACAACACTAAGATCACTACAACACTAAGATCAGGTTATTGTATAGATTACAAACAATGGAAGGCAACAGACCAATCTGAACTAGTAAGTCTAACAGAAATTAAGTAGCTTAATAAATACTTTATTAAATAAGTTACAAAAACTTATTTTTCATTCTTACATTGCAAAACATACTTACAATCATACAACAAATCATACTTACAGCATCTGGAATGTTTTTGAATGAAATCATAGGAATTAGTTTTTGATATGTATCTAAGTAGTCAAACATGATAACTCAAATTGAATTTTTCCAAAGATTTTCAACAAAAACATTACTAAGCACCTGCAGCTATCACAATTTCATTCCAACCCATGGATTGGACTAGTGGAGGATATTAATGTTGAAATTAAAGACTCTTCCCGACGGGCATTTGTTTTTAAAAGTTACGTTCTAAATGTGTTTTAAACGTCTTTTAAACATCTTTTAAACATTAATGTTTAAAAGACATTTAAAATACATTTAGATCGTAACTTTTAAAAACAAATGCCTGTCGGGTTAAGTTAGATTCATGCATCCATTATACCCATCAATTTGCTGGATTCCATCAACAAACTTATTCTTAATGATTGATATTCCAACAACTGTCACAGGAAGACAATACAAAATCAGTGAAATTGATAACCAAATCATTAAAAAAAGCTGTACAAACTTTAAACTACAGAACTAATTTTTTATGAAACTGTTAAAGATAGTAAATGCTTATTGTCTTATTTTAATTTTTTTTTATTACAATTGAACTATTTCCATGGTTTATTTTGGAATTCCATGTTTTTGGGGTTTAGAAATATAAAACATTAAATGCAAATAAATCTGATTTAAAAAAGATTACCCCTGCAGTTTTTTTGTTTTGCGGCAATTGTTATATATAGAACATTAAAAGAAAAATTCATAATCATATTTTTCAGGCATCTCAAGATAAACATTTTAAAAAACTTACAAAAAGCTGTACATTGTTTTTTTATATAAAAGCTTTAATTTTTTAGTGTTTTAGCCGTAATTTTCGAGATCTTCTCCCTAAAATAATGTTGTCAAGTATTCTTTATATCCTAATATATAACATTAAATTACTTGTATTATTTTTAAAAAGTTTTAAATTGTAAACTACCACTATTTGAGTTAGAGTTGACAGAAAATTTATTTAAAATTTTTTATTTAAAAAAGCCACTTTAATGGTATTCAGGAAAATCAATGATATTTGTAAGAAAAAATACAGGATTAAAGATGAAACCTTGTGGTGTTTCAGAGATAACTGGAAATGAAGGAGTGTTGGTTATTAAACGCCACTTCAATACTGAAAATAGAAAAAAATGAATAACTTTAAACCTTTCCAGATTTTCTAGAGAAGACCAGCAATTTTATCAATAACCATTCATATGTTAAGAGCAATAGGTTTTTCCAAATTGTTTTAGATTGGATCTAATGCATAAAACAACTGTCAACAGTAGAATGAGAATATCTAAACATGTAATCTCATGTTAAAAAAACATGTAATCCTCATGTTAAAAACATGTAATCTTAAAGTAATAAAATAGTTGGACTCAAGCTAAGATCTGCGATCAAGATCTAAACTTTTTTATTGCTAAAATTATGATAAATATTTTTTAAGTTTTTTAAAACGTTTGTTATAAGATAAGATTGAGTAATCTGAGAAAAAACTGGACTTAAAAAAAATTGTTCTGATGAAAAAGAGACTGGTAAGAAAGTTGTTCTCTTGTTGTTCTAGTAAAAAAAAAATTATTATGACTAGAAATATAAACTGCACACGAAAAAGAATCCATACAATAGACAGTGACAAGGAATAAAAAACTATACCTGCACTAATTTACAAAGAATACACATAGTCAGCAAAAAAGGTGACAAAGAACACAAAGAAAAAACTTATTTTAATCAAATAATTCAAGTATTTTTATTAAATGAATTTTTTTTATTGCAATTTATAATTTTTCAAGTAAAAAAAAAACATTTTTTTCAATTGTTTTAATTGCAGGAAAGTTTAAACCTAAGTAACATCAATCGTGTACAATGCTATCTATTGTTATCTTTTTTTTTAAACAAGGTAAAAAGCATTTTTTTAAAAAATGTATGCTTTTTCTGAAAGCTCATGTTTATTTCAAAAAAAATTTTTGATTGGGTTTATTAAATAAACTTTTAGAAACTAGCTTGTCTTTTGAACACTTGTTTATAAAAGCATAGTTAGAGAGTGATTAGATTAAAAGCATACTCAATTAAGAAGCTTCTAAATATAAAAATTAAAGGTAATGCTACAATTAAGTCGTCTAATATAATTTCAATTTTTCGCTTGTCGTACTCTTATCAGTGGAGATTGTTTAAACATAAGAAATATTTATTGGAATAATAAAAAAAAAATTTGTTGCCCTATGCCAAACCCTTAGTCGATGTAGTAGCACACTCACTTGCAGCAGCAGACTATAAGATAGTCTATGTATGTACTGAAGCCGATTAATATTTCTTATGTTTATCTGTAGCTTTATCAAATTTAATTCATAAAAATTCAAAAACTCTTGAATTTAACAAACATATATATATATATATATATATATATATATATATATATATATATATATATATATATATATATATATATATATATATATATATATATATATATATATATATGTTTGTTAAATTTAAGAATTTTTATGACTTAAATTTTATGCTTATATATATATATTTACATGTATATATATATATATATATATATATATATATATATATATATATATATATATATATATATATATATACACACACATAAATATATATACAAGTGTATATACATATATATATATATATATATATATATATATATATATATATATATATATATATATATATATATATATATATATATATATATATCTTTAAAATTAAAATATTATATTGAGACTTTTAATAGAAGATTTAATTATTAATTTTTCATATTAAAAAAATCATAAATACAGAGTAAGTTTTAACTAACATTTCAAACTGAATTTTTTTTGAAGGCAAATAATTTCATAAACTTACGATAGAAACACTAGCTTGTCTTAGAGTCTTATTTTCTTCTTGCATTTGCTTACAACGTAACTTGTACATTTCTAACTCCATCTTTAATACTCTATTAGCCTGCTGCAATGATTGAATGCGATTATCATTACCTTGCCCTCCTTCATCTGCACTCATATCACTGTCTGAGGCTCCAGGAAGGGCTTCTGATGAGGAACTTAAGGATCTACTAGTAGCCATGATAAAAAAATAGCCTATAAACTTATTTATATTGTTTCAATTTTGTATGCATATCTTGAATTAGGTAAATTTAATGATAAAATTAAAATTTTCTGTTTCAAATCTAAGGGTTACATGTTTCAAATATTGTTCAGTATTTGTTACGCCATTTACAAACAGCGAGCGGATAATATCTACCTTAAGGGAACCTAGATATCGGGTATATATTTAGCTCGGGGAGGTGTGCAAATTTATTATTAAGCAATACTAAGAAAAATAGACTTTTTGTATCAAAATGCGAACCGGTAAAATGGAAAGGTTTTCGCTCATTGGTAGTTGATGATCTTGAAGTTTTTCAGCGGCTTTGTAGACTATACTCATGACTACATTCTTCCTGAACCAAAATCTTTAGTTGATTTACATACATTTATTTCTGTCAATCTTTATTTTATACTAATATACTTACCCTTGATAATATATAAAATTTTATCATTTATACTTATTTATGTCAATATTTATAAAGTATTTGTGGTCCTTAAAATTAATGTTTTGGTTTTAAAAAAACTTCGCATTTTACCGGTGTCGTTTATATCTATTTGCTTTATCGATTTAGTTTAGCGATGCAAATTTTCGATACAACACGATATTATAAAAAGCTAGTCATGACATTTCACGGATATTTACAAATAATACAAATACTTGTCTAAGTTATACGTATTAATAAAAAGGTTAGATTCTTTTCTGATAAAAGTTTATTTCCGACCCTGAAATAAGTTCTTTAAAAATTCTGCAGTAACAGAAATAAATTTATAAAAAAAATTGCAATGCAACAAAAATAGTTTTATAGAGGAATATTTGTTGCTCATGAGCATTATTTGCAGAGCAAATATTGTTAGCACAATGAGTTTATATGAGCAACTAAAATTAAAATAGGTACATTTGGCAAACGCTTTTATAACTTAAATTTTGTTTTAATTTAAAAATTCAATTTTGAAAATATTATATGTCGGATCAAGGAGATCCTAAAGGGATGTTGCAAAATCCCTAAGCTCGATACAATTTTTATTTATGGGTTCTATTTTTGTAACAAAGTTACAAAAATAGAACCCATAACGTATACATTATAAAATTTCTCGTGGTAAATAAAGGTGGTAAATGATGCAAATACAAATTTAGAAAAATCTAAATAAATACATAATAAATACAACAATATGGTCTATTATTACCAAACACAAATAAAAATTGAAAAACATATTTGGCCCAAATTTTGATGATAGTTTACATTTTAGGGATCACAAAGAAAAAATTAAAGAAATAATATAGCCATAAGGTAATTAAACTGATTCTTTCACTTGTTCATCTTTTTTTATTTATTTGAGTTTTTATGCTATATTTTTCTATACAATGTTCTTATACCCGAAGATATTGTTGGCTTAACATAGGAACAGCCACAAATAGTTATTAAGACTAATCCAAAGTAGCGTTTAACATTTACCGAAGTACTAATTAAAAATTAGTACTTTGGTAAATGTTGAGTTGAAATGCTGAGTTGGCGGTGGCGGGATTTGAACTCGTATCGTTCAACAGTCCGGGTTTTCACTTTTCCTTTAACACTCTAACCATCTGAGCTATCCCGCCACTATTCATTCAAATCTATTCCATCGATTCATTCATTCAAACCAAACTCATTCATCTTGTTATTGATATATTCTCTCAAAGCACGCTTTAGTTGTCAATTTTAAAAAAAGTCTTTTATATCTAGAATTTTCACCAAAAAAAATTAAATCGACGACAACGGGGCCCCCTTGCCCTGACTTTCCCCCTCCCTCTTTCTCCGGGCTCTGAATCTACAAAAAGAAACGACTTTTGTTTATTTTAAAATAATTTCAAGCATAAATCAAAAGTTTAAAAATTTTTTAAAAACAAGTTTTAATAATTTCTGTTGCAAACTAGGTAAAATAAAATCAGATATTTAAATAGACTTATTTTATAATAATTTTTTTTAAATCAACACCAACAGATTTATCACACGATGAACAGGTAACTTCACATTGCCAAAAAAAAAAAAATTTCTCGAAATTTTCAATTGTATATAGTGGCCTCATTCTGTGACATCAGCATACTATTCACAATACTTATAAAGCAAAGTACCTCAAAATGTCGAACTTACTTAATTGGTTAATCGTATTGCTCTGAAGAAAAAACGAAAAGATCTCATAATTAACAAAAACATTAATGTGGATATATATTAAATGTTAAAGATAAATAAAAAAAATAAAATAATAATAATAAATATAATAAAAATATAATAAATATAATAAAAATATAATAAATATAATAAAAATATAATAAATATAATAAAAATATAATAAATATAATAAAAATATAATAAAATAAAAGTATATAATAACAACTATACACAGTAAAATAATAATGAACAGTTAACCTAAAAAGGTTAATGAGTGTTTTGTATATATTCTTTTTAAACTTTTAGTTTATTTTGTATCTTAAAGGTTCTCGATGATAAAACTTCTCTTAGTCTTCTGCTAGTTTCCTTACAACTACATTATTTTGATTTATCAATATATATATATATATATATATATATATATATATATATATATATATATATATATATATATATATATATATATATATATATATATATATATATATATATATATATATATATATATATATATATATAACGACAACCACAAGCAAGTTCCTAGTAGCCCAGTCCTGGGACGGACCTGCGTATTTTTTTTTTAATGCATGGGTTAATAACTTTATATTATAAATCACAAATTCTTATAATAATTATTTTAACTCACTGTCCAGCGCACATGCGCATAACAACATTTTCAACTTTCTATAAGAACTGTAAATATGTGTGGTGTACATATATAGAAGCTATGTAAACTGGAGACATAAAATAACTTTTTTGAAATGTATAATAATAATCGTTGCAAAAAAAAAAATTTTTTTTTCAGCGATCATTATTATATTATGTGCTCATTGTTATTCGTATCTCATTCGTATGGAAATCTTTCCTTTTTTTTATTTATCATATAAGTGTATATCATATGTAATGTAAATAATCTATTTAATGGAACTTGCTTGTGGTCTCATAAAAGACCTGATGGTCTTCTTTGAATATCCGCGTTCTTTATTTATTTTTTGTTTATTTATTTTTACGATATCTTCACTTGTAATTTTTCTCGTTTATGTTTGTATTTGTATCGTGAACATTGTAATAAAGAAAAAACAAACAAACAAACAAACAAAAAATGTAATGACATATGCAAATAATCATTATGATATATGTAAATAATATATGTAAATGTGTATTGTTAATGATATATGTGAATGATATATGTAAATAATCATTATTCATATATGTGTATATCATATGTAATCATAGATAAATTTCATTAATCATATTTTTCATTAACCACATAGCCATGTATTTTTTTTTTTTTTTTTACAACGATCATTATATATTTTATGTGCTCATTATCATTCGCATCTTATTGTATAATTATTACAATAAGATACGAATGATAATGAGCACATGAAATATATAATAATGATCGTTGTAAAAATTTGTACATATATGTACAAATACGTACATGCGTAATACGTACATACATAAAAATACGTACATATATGTAAAAATACGTATATATACGTATATGTACATGCGACCATTATTATATATTTCATCATTGATGCATACGAAGATAAGCTAAGAACAGTTGTAACAAAAAAGTCTCGGAAAAAATATCTACTGACAAAACTAAAATTAAAAAGCATGGGTATAGACAGAAATACACACAAAAAAACTTGAGGTATGATCGGGTTATTAAAAGCAGCGATAAAAAAGATTGGGAAATTACTAAAAAAAAGATTAAACAACTCTTCAGCGTGAAACTTAATATCGTAAAAGATGTTATACTTGAACAAGGTCATAGAGTGGGGGTTGCTAAAGAATAGCGTGAGGGAACAATTGTCCTGAAGCTTCGTGATTATAAGGATAAAAAGTTAAAAAATGAGCAGTATTTTTATAAACGAAGATTTCAGTTTTATAATTTACAAAAATTAGAAAATAAATTTTTTAGTAGGGGAACTTACGTTGATAAAATGACCATATTGCCAAAATTGTATACAATAAACTTATTTTGAGAAAAAAACCACAAAGAAACTATTAACTTGGCAAAGGAAATAAAGAAATCTAATTCTCGGCGCACGTAAACCCGTGAACCCGTGAGAGTTTTAAATGCATTAATTAAGTTTGAACACTTTTGAAAATAACCTTATTAAATGATGACTGTTCTTTTTCTGGTTTAAATGTAAATTTTAAATGTAAACACTGAAGTATATATCAAAATTTTAAAAAATTTAATATGAAGAATACGAAGAATATAAAGAAAAAGTTTTTTATTGCCTTTATGTATTTAATTAAAAATAGTATAAAAATAGTTTTCTTGAAAATGATTTTTGTAGATAATAAATTGTTGGGTTCTTTTAGAAAATCATTTTTTGAAAATGAAATTATTCAATAATTTTAATGCAAACTTATTTAAGAATTGGACTATAAATTTGAGATAAGCCAATTCCGATTCTACCGACTCTTAAGAAATCGAAAGAATCGTGATTTTCTTATTTTCAACGAACTTTAACAGCTCCGTTTTTTTAAATTTTTGTTTTTGCACTTTATTTCTACTTCACTTACTTTCTAAATGCTGCCTTGAGCATACTCTATAGATGTTAAAACCTTATTGTAACGTTTAAAATCAATAGTGAAGTTAAAGTAACTGTGAACAAAAACTTTAACAGACAGGGCCTGTGAGAGCACCAATAGAGTCCAGGTCAAAAATTGTGAACAGCGTCCTTCTTTCAAACCAAGAAATTACAAAACTTAAAATTTCGTAAACGCAGTAATAATCTATTTTTGATACAGCACATTGTATTCATGCGTTACTATCTCTGGATTGCATACAAATCAAAACTTCTATATATATATATATATATATATATATATATATATATATATATATATATATATATATATATATATATATATATATATATATATATATATATATATATATATATATATATATATATATATATATATATATATATATACAGACGTGTTCAATTTATTACACTAGAGATTTAAGAAAATTATTTTCAAAT